CACTGACCGTGAAATACTTTCTGAGCCAGGCCCTGAAAAAAAAAAACAAACCCCAAACATTTTTAATGGACACCAGATAGCACATTGCTGATTTAATTAGGCAGTTAGAAACAAATAAATATATTTGCACACATATATTTGTATTTTCTCTTTCATTTCAAACAAATTTGGTAGGCCTGATTTGGCTCTCTATTCAAATCACAGGAAACATCATTAAAAAGTGTTCTATATTGACAGCAGAATCAAGCCCTCTCTCTCTTTTTAGAATTTAATATTACACGTTTTCCAGTGGTACTGGAATAATTCACAAATCAGAGGCTCTTCAGAGTACCTTCGGACAAGCCTATGTGTGTTATAATAGTAATAGATGCCACACAAGACAAGCTTAGAAAGACGTTCCAGAGGTTCTCTCTTCAGTCCGTGGGGTTCTATGGATTAGAAACTCAGGCAGATCTGTTTAAGTCTGACTTTATTTAAAAAAAAAAAAAAAAAAAAAGTATTCGAGTAAAACTTTCACGGCTTATGTATCACTCATAACCTCACCCAGACTATCAAATGATTTGGATCACAGTATCTTTAGCACAGTTAATAATGATACTGCATAGCGAGTATCACCCAACATGTCCTTAATGTATTTCATACAATTTATTTTATCAATAATTCAGCAGTACATAGCACTATAAGGAAATTGATTGTTGCTATAAACTGTTTTGCATATTGTCTCATCTGCTGGCTTTAATTCATTATTTAAATGACACTGTAATTATACTACATTTCATATTCTATTTAACCAGGGAATATTGACTATGAATACAAAGTGATAAAAACAACTTTTTCCAGTACCTCAAAACACACACACTTATTTTCAAATAACCAGCTCCAGCATTCAACAACAAAGCAAAAATACAGTGCTTAGGGTTCAGCAACTTGAGCTCAATTTTTTGCAAACGACTGCACAAAGATATTATTGTTCAGCTGTCATTAGGACTGTGAAATTAATATTAAAATAAGCTGCTTGTTTATTTAAATTTAGAACTAAATATGTAACCTGAATCCATAGCTTCATGCTATTATGTTTGCTGAAAGAGCAAATTGATATTAAAAAAAAAAACATTAAGGTTATACTGAGATGTGTGTTCAGGGATGACAACATATATTACAGGTAGTATATTAAACAATGCCAAATCCAAAATAATTTTGTAATCCCAGCACCTACTACATATTTATTCACGTACAATTGCATACCCACAGAAAAACGCTCTTAAAAACAAATGATACACTTTCACTATTAGTAGGGGTGTTCACAGTTTCATATAGTCCTACATCCTAATAGGTTTCCAATATACAATTTTGAAATCGCAAAGCCTGCGTAATGCAGGGTTAGATAAAGTACACTATTTTGCATGTACAGTAAAATACAATTAACCTGCAGAATAATATCAATACTATAGTATTTGTAGACGTGTTTATTCATGCAGAAATCTTTTTTCTCTAAATTGCAGAATATTAGGTGATTAAGTGTACCTTTCACCACGTTGGAGCGCTCTGATACACAACGCTGACTTTTAAATCCAAATACATAGTAGGGGGAAATATTAGCACATTAGTATTCTACTGGTCTATAACAGTCACCCTGCAAAGCCCTCCCATCCACATATTCCATGTCAGAAAAGCACACTTACTCCAGACTGTTTGTATTCGTATTTACAAAGGTGCTCTGCAAGAAGGGGAGCAAATCCAAGGGTTAACAGAAGAAAAAAAACAAACCAAAACAACAAACCACACCACCAAAATCCCCAGCCATACTGAAGACCTTGCAAGAAAAGGAAAATGTTCAGCAGATAACAGCCTAACAAAAAGCGAACAGAGAATTTAGTGTCTCAGTATTGCCTGGATACCAGTTTGGGATTTAGGCAGCCTTGGATTACAAGGACTATTCCCTTGAAAATCTAGCCCACAGTTCCTGCACTGTTTTCTACCAATACCGCATCCAAACTGTGACTAAACACCTCATTATGCTTCTCTGGCACCATCCGAAGCAAACATATTGTACGATTTTATGTGGCACCTAAAAGCGGAGGGGAAAAAAGAGGCTATTTTCTTTACCAAATGGTAATGAAATGACAAACAGCAAGTTCCGTGCAAAAGCTTGCATGATCAGTAAATGTTTTTTCCCCCATTTTCTTTCTGTGGTAGGCAACAGGTGACAAAATACAGGCCCCGATCTTCAGCTTTAAAAATAAGACAATTTACTTAGTCTACAAGACATCTATAATGCAGTCTTCTTTTTTTTTCTTAAATTAAAATTGAATGAAGAGGTTTAACCGGGCCTCTACGTTGGCTTCAGAATGTAAATGCCTTTCTTAACATACATTTGTAGATTGTAGATGTTTCATTTAAAGAAAATACAGCTCTCCCAGTTACAAATAATAACCAGTGGCTTTAGGTAACAACCCAATATTGACAGATCTTAAAAGAGAAAACCCAAACTGCATTTTTCAAAGGAACTGCATGCCTCAAATACTTCACTATGATCTTTCTTTCCAATAACTTACTAATTGTTCTTAAATACGTAGATGAATTATGAGGCAATAATCTCCAATTTTCTTAGCTCTTACTCCAGTCAAACATTATATTCTGATTGATGAATATCTGAAATATTTAATTTGCTGTTCATGGCACTCAAACAGTTAATCTAATTTATGAGAAGTAAGAATACCGCATTAAAGATCCCTGCTATTTTCTTCTTTAAGCTTCACCACTTTAAAAGCATTTTTCCCATCTATTATTATTTAGAAATATTCTTCCTTTGTGCACTGGACATATTACTACAGTTCAGGAGGCCGTATCAGTGACACGATTCCTTTGCAACTCTCCATGCTACTTGCTAAATAATTTCACTCCCATATGTACATACACAGCTGGTCAAGTGCAAGAAACTACTTTGCTGCATTCAGCTACAACTCGCACACTTCCACAGAAGCCTTGGGGGACAAAAAAAAAAAAAAATCACGAGGCTACAAAAATTATCCGCTTCTACCACTGTCCATTTCCTGAGTCTTCTAGTGCTCACACATTTCCAAAGCAGTGATATGCTATGCTGCAGCCGTACACCTGTGTCCCTTTTAGCGAAAAACCCAAACTCAACAGGGTAGAAACGTTTCAATATCAAAACTGTTAATATCCATTTCTCAATTCACGATTAAACAGAACCTTGCTTTAAAGATGCTGTTCCCTGAAATATTTAAATGCTTAAAAAAAAACAGTTCTCTATTTGGAAAGCTTTGCAGTTTCTTCCCTTTACAAGAATACAGCTTTGCAGCACCAGCGAAGTGTACCCGGTACAGCAGATGGTTAAAATTCTGCATAATTTTTAATAGCCTTAAGAGAAAGCACTGCCTTTT